TGGGCTCCCTGTGTATTACCGAGATCGCACGCAACGATAGGTTTACGGTCAAAAAGTTTACGAACGAGAAATGACTGGATACCGACGGATTCCAAACAAGAAATTGGCATACGAAAGAGTTTTATTTCGATTTTCTTGAAACGTGACCAGAATAATCAATGAAGAAGATTTTTTCTAGGTCGTCTGGAGGATATCTGTAAACCTTGTTTTGAGAGCAATGGTATAATGCCAGGATTGATGGCATGTTTCCGCTGCTCAGCACAGCTTCGGCGGATATCAAAATTCATAATACCATTACATCGCATACTGATCTCTGAATCTGATTTATAAGAGGTTGCTTTGTGCTGGAAAATTAATATGATTTGCTGTTTGAAAATTTTAGTTTGTCAAAGAGACTGAGAAACTGGATCATCTTTCAGTCATGTAATGTGACTTTTTTTATACGCTGTTCAAAATCACAAGAATGACTATCAATCATCGCTTTGACAGTCAACAAATTGCAATTGTCGCTTTCAATCATTACTTGAACAATGAATCGCAACACTTTGAGAAACTAATCCCTATGTATATCAGAGAACACTTCATTTAGTAGTTACCTAGTTCTTCGTCTATCTTATTAACGTAACAAACTTTCCCACCTATTAGATAACTCGTGGTTTCTTCTCAGGTTTAGGTAACTCAAGGGGTCTATAAGATGTTCTGGAACGTGCACAGCCATTTGAATAATTTCCGTTCGCTTGCTCGATCCTTCGATGTGTCTGTTCGTCTGTTGGTAACGTTTCTGATGAGGTATTTTAGTTATTTCAGTTGTGCCCTTTTGGAATTTGTAGTTCTGAGTTATCGGAGCTTTCACGCTTTACAGCAAACATTTTTACAAGTCTAGCTGCTAAAACCGTAGACCGAACGTAAAATGTCTGCGATGCTCAAATACCGAGTGTGCATTCAATTAACCTCCAAAATGTAACGGTGCGTCTGTTTGTCTGTAGGTAACGTTTCTGATGAGGTATTTTAATTATTTCAATTGTTCCCTTTTGGAATTTGTAGCTTGAAGTTATCGGAGCTTCCACGCTTTAAAGCAAACTTTTTTACAAGTCTAGCAGCTAAAACCGTAGACCGCGCGTAAAATGTCTGCGATGCTCAAATACCGAGCGTGCATTTAACCTCCAAATGTACCAGTCCATCAATTGGTGACGAATGATAAAATCTGAGACTCTGGAGACGCCGGGACCGCCTGTTTGAAAAAATGCGACCGCGACTAAACTATTTTAGCTACGCGATACCGTATCATCGCCATCGTGTAAATGAGAATATTAATGCATTGCAATCCCAATGACAGATAAATGTTGCATTAGAGTTCCTATATTCTCTTTCGCGTTCGTTTTTGTGATATATTAGCTTTTGTATTGCAATATTTTCACACAAAAGTGGTTATATTCAAACTCACCTAGATAACTACCAGCTACCCGAGCTAGCTTTTGACCGAGCAATTTCCAAACTCTGATGACTTTAAAGGAAATTTCGAGTCTCTGAATGAAAGTGTTTCACTTCGCATCTTCACTATCAAATCTTTTGTTCCTTTCAAAAGAAAAATTGAACAATACATATCTTTAAAACGAAATCTAGGGATAGTAAAATGTTGGTCGAGTGTGCAACTATATGTGAGTTACGTAACCTTTGAAGAAAAATTTTAAAGCGGAATTTGGGCGATAAAAAAATTTCGCAGTTGAAGAGAGATTTGGAGCATTTCCTATGCGCGTATAACAAAGAAAAAAATCGCCCGTTAGTATAAACCCTATCAAGTTCCGATTTCGCGAGGAACTGTCGGCGAGCTAGAGAATATTATATGTAGATATGGTAAGAGTCTTGCACCCTTAGAAATGTTTTCCCTACACATTTTCGGATAGACTATTATTAGACTTTGTAGTGTCGAGAATGGCGCTCTATTGGCTAGCCGCGGTGGATTTCAGCACACTGTCTTTCATCAAGTAACACCGTCGAACAGCTCTAACTTTTATGATCTCAAGTAGGGGACATATTGACATTTACAGGCCGTTATGATATATGGACTTTGCTTCTGACACCATTAACCTCGGTCGATGAAGGCCACACTGATCAACAAACCTAATACATCGCGGTACAGCCCACACCCGTCTTAAAGTATATCAATTACAGAATACCTCGTTGGGGCACTGGCTGAGCGAGATGGAAGAAACCGCAATTAATTATTGCACTCCTCTGTTTTTGAGAACATGATGATAGTAACTTAATCCAATCAAGGAATTCACTAGTAAGTCAGCCGCAACTGTAAGCAAATTTATTTTTCAAGAGCGAGAATTTTTCTTCTCATAATCACATGATTTATCTTGGTTTGCCGTATCAATTTTTTTTAAGGTCATCTAGGCATAAAGCTGTATTTATCATTTTGCTAGAAACAAAGGAACGGTTCAGATCGTGTAAAACGAAGCCTGATAAAATTTTCACCCAGCCGGCGGAAAATGTCATACAGGAAACGTGCATCATGACTTGAAAATTTCCGGTACTTGCGTTCCTAACGGGAAGATATAGATAAAGATTCTCTGCGACTTCCAAAAAAGTCTGTTCTAGAAATTTACAAGGCGAGAGAATTTCCGGCAGTCATGGCTAAGAGGTAAGCGCTTAAAATGGTGCGCTGATCTGTTTGCGTGTAAAACATAAAAGCGCTTTGTTCCATTGAGCTGGAAACTCAGACTTGCATTCAGCAGTGGTACCTGTGCAGTGTTGAATATTCCAGTTTCGTTAGAAGATTTAAACCAAGTGACAACGCAAGCGATACCGCTGCTCGCTTTGTTCCGACCCGCCACGAAGCCTTTTACCATTCCGTTGACTCGGACACTGAAAACGATGCACTTCGATAGCTACTCGTAGAAAATAAGCCGCATGCTCATTTGTCGGGGGAACTGACGAACTTTTGTGGGGAATATGGGGAAGGAGGTGGGGATTATGTGCAGTTGGTTGGCTAGTCATTCAGGAGGAGTAGCATGGCAATATTCTGTTTGTCGCTAGATTCTCGAGGCATCGGGAGAGATTCCGACATTAGTAATTGGCCATAGACTCATTAGGCGTACGAGTCTGGCGTTGTTTATGGCTGATTTCCTGCGTCCCCCTAGTTTTAAACTAGTAACTTTTGGAGAGCATGGTTTCTTTGGTTTGAAACAAACTTGCCAAATTACTTGTAATCCTTTCGAGAATTGAGTTCTCTGAGCTCGATGAGAAGTAAGGCGAAAGATGCGAAGCGAAAATGAGGCATACAGCTGAATGCAACACCCAAGTAAGACCTCGCTTTGAGGTGTGTCTACACTATCCTGCGCCACCGTCAATTCTTTCTGTTGACAAAGTCTACAAAGGAAAAGGTATGAGAGCCTTCAAATCGAGGCTTGTTGTTGTGGTTCGTTAAGAGCACCAAACAGAAGTGGTTGGAAAACGTATGTCGTCAAATTGAAGTGCTTTAACTGAAGGGGTTGCCCCTATTTTTACAGCAGTATCTATTGAAGTTAAATTTATTTATAGAAAGAGGGAAAAAGCTTGAACGTATTCTAAAGCTGATTTCTTTGGGTTTCTGTTCGTAGTAGCTCTGAGCAGTTTCTGTTAATTTGATAAGATGGGTACAGACAAAGGTAGCTTTGTATTAAAATGATATCGCATGTCATTGCAGAGTAGAGGTGAGATGCCGCAACAGTCGCTCACACAAATCCTTTCAATGTCCTAAGCCAGTTGTCTGTTCAATTTTGATTCAGTCAAGCCAAAGTTCACAGGTGCCAAGCAGAGCCAACGCCTGTTTCCGCTAGTCCGTGATAAATAACAACTACATATACGCTGTGGGCATAATTGTGATTGTCTAGTTGTAAATGGCAACGGGAAAAAGGCGGTCTCAGCGGAATATTCTACAGATACAATGGATCACTTGAGGGACGTTTGAGTTTACCGGGGACTAAGGGCGGAGAAAAAGAAAGAAAACAAAACTTTTTTTTATTAAACAATTAGAACCACAAAGAGGTGTCTCAAGTCTCCTGGTGTAAAATTTAATTATTTTCTCAATTAATTTAAAGCGCATTTTTAACTCACGAGTCTCCCATAAATAAACTTATATTCCATTATTTTAAATCGATTAAACTCTAAGAAAAGCCAGACATCACTGCGAAATAAATATTTGTTTCAACTCAGTTAAGCCAGACTAATCGGCGTGTCTGGGCTTGGCTTCGAATCACAAAAGGCCATTTTCCTCTAGCAATGAATGCCAGTTAAAGAAATTGAATCGCACCCGAAAATGATATTTACAAGGCGAATTCAGTTTTTGATCAACTTTACACCGACTCTTCAAAAGACTTGCCGAGAAAGGAGATTGAAAGTTGTTGCGTCTTATCACTGTCGGACGCTGACTGAATTTATGAGAAATCTCGCATCACGATTCATACGCCACAAAGCTACGAGTCTCTCCACTAGCCACTGTAACACACCTGACAAGCCGTTTGCGAGTTGCGAGGAAGGAGTCGCGAGAGGTTCGTGTTCCCGCGCGCACGATGGCTCTCACCTGCTTACTAACTTTCTCGTTTCTCGTTGTTCTTCGATCAAATGTTTTACCTGCAACAATCTTTAAAAAGAGAGGTTAACTATCACGGTAATGGTTATGGTTGTTCACTCGTGGTGTGGTGCAACAACCAGCAAGTTTAAAAGTCTTACAAGAGGAAGCCCAGGGAATTTCTCACTTTTCATTCGTTATATTACCATGCAACAACAGCTAGATACTTGTTTTCCCAGTGTATGCACGAATAATACCAAGGTGCTGCACACATTTTGGACATAGTCCTGCCATTGAATCTTGAGTGGTTAGTCTCCTATGCTTTTCTCTTTTGGCTACAGAATGTATTCCTTGTGTTTCCCTGCCCTAGGTCTCGACCCAAAACACATTCCTCCACGACCTGATTGGTTGTCTTTGGCCCACGAAAACTCTCGAACTAGGAAACTGCGTGAATTGCCTTTTATTTTACGTTATTTTTCTAGTATATTTTTACAAGAACAAAGTAATCTTTTACATCATTTTTGTTAAGTCTGAGCTTTATTGCCACGTCACATACTGCACATGAAACATCAGTTTTTAAAAAAAGGCTGCATTTGCCATGTCTACACTAAACAGTTTTCCAAAACTGCTTCCCTTTGACGTGGTTAAATCTTACCTAACAAGCCCACTTCGAGAAAAACCATCCTCTACTTTTAGATCAACAACACACCATTCTATACAAAGCAGCCAAGTTTTAAGTTTAATATTCTAATTCAACAGAAACTGTTTTGATTTTTTTTTGTCAAATTTCGAACTCAACAGCAAAGAAGCTCGCGAATGGTGGAGAACGTTACTTCACTCGCATGAGATCAGAGTGAAAAAAAAAAAAAGACGAATCAGGACACTGCTGCTTATCTTTAAAAGTCCATTTGTGATCTTAATGTTACCATATTCTAAGAAGATCGTGAGGTAACATTCTACTTAAAAAATTTCATCCAGACGCCTGACAAGTCATGAAAGATCTCCTTTCGGTTATCTCGCTTAACACGCACACACAAAAAAAACAGAATGGTGAAGCTACCAGAAAGTAGCGATGAGTAGAACTGAAGACGGGTACCTAAATGAAACTATATAACAAATTACGTAACTTTGCAATTTCAGAGCCATCTACATATAGTAGGTTCCATTTTTAAGCATGTGTTTCAAGTAAATCTTTTCCGTTTGCTTCATAATTGTATCATTTATTTCTTCTTTCTTTCTCTCTACTTTTCATCTAACGAGAAGCAGCGACCATCAGGGTTTAAATGAAGAGTAACAATTTTCGGTGTTGGCTGCGCAATTGTTTGATTTAACCCCTCCCCCTTCCCCACCCAATCCCCCTTCTGAAATCTCTCCTGGCCATCTTTGTAGAAAGGGGGAAGGGAAATCCTCAGTGAAGGCACGACAAAAACCTCATAACCTAACTGTGAACTGATTTGAGATAGGGCGTTTGGTCTAGACCCTGGAGCTGCAGAGGTATAGAACATGGAAGCACGATCACAGATTTTAAACAAGCTTATCATGTTACAGATTACCATCGAGTCAGCTAGCTTGTGGTGATAAAAAGAATAGTCATCACTTCAATATAAAAATTCTCCCTAACAATCTTCAGACGTCAATCACGTCTTGAGTGCGGTGAATTTGATCATTTATCAATTCTGACCACCCAAGTCTTCTGTACCGCTGCAGTTTTAATTCCATGTTCTAAACGGTACGCAACCTAAGACTACAGACAGCATCCAGGCCTCTGATACACATCGATATGCAATTGACCATACAAAATATAATTTCTACATATAATGATCCTGTGTCGAGGACGTCAGAGTCCCGGAGGGAAACTGTTCACCTCGCCTTGTTCATTGACCGGGGCCCCATTCACTTTATACGACAGTTTTAACCTCATGCGCAACGGTTGCTGTAGAAATAAGAAAAAAGTATAAGTAAAAGTTTAAGGGCTGTATGAGCATGAAAGAAAAGGCTCATCAAAATAGTGAAGCAACTTTGCCAATTCTGCGGTTTCTCCGCTTGTTCAAAACGTACGTGCAATCGAAATACTGTGACTACATCAACTGCGAGTTAGGAGAACGAAATTCTCTCCCTGTGAAACCCACCCACCCCACCCCATAAAAATTCCCCATTGACCATTACACTTCTTAAACAACATTTCATACAATGTCTTACTACAAGCGGTATTAAGTTAAAAAGTTGCAGGATTCTCACGCGCATGACCGCGTTTGAGACGCAAGTAACGATCAGAAAACGCACCAGAGCTCAGATGTTATCTTAACGTTAATGGCAAAAGGAGGCTAACACTTATTTTCAATTATAAATTAGTTTCTTTTCCCATTTTGTTGTTTCCTTCGGTAAGAACTTTGAAAAATATCGATGAAAGTCTGATTGGAAATCTCAAAATTATAACAATGATAAATAATAATAAACTATATTATGCGAAAAAGGCTTTGTTACCAAACAAACTAACAAATGAATAAACAAACGTAACAAACGAGGCGTAAGACATTTTACGCCTTGGCATCGTACTTCAGTATACGATGAAATTCGTTTACATGCATTGACATATGGATATTTAGAGAGGAAATGTGTCCTGGTTTCGCGCTAAAGTACCTCCCACTTCTACTGGGAAAAAAAATATTTACGCCTCCACACAAAGCTCCGCTAACATGTACGCGTTTTGGCAAATGTTACGATACACAATGTTGTAGAACTGCCATCGGCAGAACTGTCCCTGGGTACGTTCGAAAAAAAAACTGGTTTTCGAAATGGAAATGTAGCACAGGACGAGTAAACTCATAAGGGCCTTGCTTCAAGACAAAAGCACAAAGTTATGCATCATTGACCTTCCAGAAGTGATTGGCGAGTAACCTGTCTTCAAAACACTCAAAGACGAGACTACACACGCGATCTTGCACTGTACGCCCTGTTTCCTACATGGCTGTTCCCTAAAAGCTGCCACGTAGATTAAAAAGCGCCTCGTGTTTGAACAGCATTTAAACCTTTTGCAGACACTTTGGATGGACAATTCACGATGACAAATAAGTTTGTTTTCTTTGCTTTTAATCACTTGAGGGCTGAACAACTCATTAACTCAGTAGTAGGGCGTTCACGTAACTTTATTTTACAACACGCGACTGAGCACACATTTTAGATTTGTTGTCCTCTGAGACCATAAACTAGTTGACTCCACAAAACACACCAAAAGAGGATGAAAGTTACTGAAACCTGTTTGCACAACGGAATCAATTTTAGTTTGAGGACTAATAAAATTTTATCTTGCAAACACACTACCAGCGCGACGGCTATGATTGAGTACTACTTTACATAAATCTCAGACAAAGCAAGAACTTGTTGATTAGAGGAAGTTTATTTTTAGGCCGTGCGAAACAAAACGTTTGCTACAAACCGCAAAAAAGACCGACAAGCGAAAACACAGGAATCCAACTGTCAACATCAAAGGAACCACAAAACAAGACCACCCCCATCACAGACAAAGAACTCTAGAGCTACAGCAAGATGACAAAGGACAAACATCAATCAAGTGAAGAAATAAGTGCTTGAGTTGAAGATAACAGGGATGCTTCCAGCAAGGGAGCAAAAAAAACACTCCACACGTGGAAAAAAAAAAACAATATGTTCGACAGAGTGTCTCCAAAGAACACGTTGAAAATCCTCTTGGAAACACGTGCATGAAAGTCGCTTCAAACTGTCATTTCCGACATCCTGTAAGCTGAACGGGAAGTCAGAAATAAAACAACATCACACACGTGTTATGCCTCCGGCTAAGTTCTCGCAGAATGTATGTTTCTATTAAAGAACTAGGCAGGGTTGTTTTGTCGCTAGCGCTGATAAGTGAGCCTTCCTGTATTTACAGACTGAAAGAAAGGCCGTCAAACTTCCAATTTGATTTCCAATAAAGCCAGCGCCCTTGTCAAACTTCCAAATCCCCTTTCGGTAAAGGAAACAAACGGTGAATTTGATTGTCGCACAATGGTTGAATTTAGCTGGTAAATGATAGGACGAGTAAAGCAACGAATTCAAAGCAATTTCCTCTTTGAAGCAAGGGCAAGAAGAGTTGAAAACTTTCGCAGCAGACATCTTTGTAATGAGTGTACATGTACATGTACAAGTTTTTCACTCAAAAAAAAAAAAAAGAAAAAAGAAAAAGGAATAACTTTGTTCAGAAAAACTGCTCAATTAAAATGCCTTCCTGAGCCTTTAACATTATCATGGCGTGCGTCCTCGTCTTGAGCATGTTCGTCGGTGACAAAGTGTTACCCCGAAAAATCTCCTTTATACACTAGCGTGTTAGTTTCAAAAAGAAAGTTATATATTTGCACCTGCACTGAAAAATGCTCGTGGGAGTGGAGCTCTATTAACGAATCCGGCTCGTCGCAAATCGCAATCACATCGCAAAGAAATTCCCACCAGTTCACTCGTGCGAGTTGAAATCCTACCCTAACAGCGCCGAATTAAACAAGCTCTTCAGGCTAAGAAAATAAGAGGCTGTGAACGGGGCAGGCGTACAAATAACCGATTTACCTGTTGCGGATTGGCCACCTTTACTTCTTGGGTAATGGTTCCTGAGTTGCTGGGTGGCACCACATTACCAGACGGGCTTAAAAGTTGCAACTGGAAAGTCTGTGGACGAACAAAAGGACAAGTTATTGGCTGCAGGGCGTGCAAAAGTTTATTGCTTGTCATTACACTTTGCTGACATGAAGAAAGACGATCCTCTTGCACAAACATGAAATTTTGCTTGAGTTGTAGCTCTACTAATGAATAAAGGGTGTAAGTTTATCAAGAAACAGTGGTGCTGCGTCGGCAGGGGTAACAAAGTCATTTTGGTTTTATCAACTGAGTTGAAATTGCAAATTACCCACCGTAAAGAGTTTATAAAACTGACGTTTCGAGTGTTAGCCATTCGCTCTGACGATGGGCTATCGCTCGAAACGTCAGCTTTTGTAATCGTTACGGTGGCCAATTTACCACTTCAACTTTGTTGATATATCCAAATTATTTCGTTACTCCCACCGACGCAGCCCCAAACAGTTTCTTTCGAAACTATCAGCCGAAAAGGAAATAACTGCATACCTTAGGTACAGCTGCCTGGAAAACAAAATCAGTCATGGGGAAAGCGAGCGAGTTCGTGGCCGTTACCATGATGGACACCACATTAGATGGGTTACCAGGAACCTTCTCGAATGCAAAAATTATCTTTAAACCATTGTTCTCGAAGGCTGTTATAGGCGGGAAACCTAGAAAACACATGAGGAAATCTGGTCTTAGCTCCGTGCCGTTTCACGGGAGCTTTAAACAGTAGTAATGGGAAAATTCCCTGGGCATTGGTCTATATTGAGCACCTCAGAAATCGCCAGCTAAGAAGGTAAAGTTAAACTTCGCACCGGGATATACTATGTGAAAACAAAACCTTGTAAACAAGTGAAAAACAAATGTACGCATATCAAATTGCTCCATACGCTCGAGACTTTCTACCCATCCTTTTTTGTTTTGCAAGTTTACTTTTGAAACCCTTTCTTCCGAAGAATGTCCCGCGAACCGATGAAATGACGCGCGTGATAAATGCAAGTACAGGCACAAATGGCCAAGACTGGCCCATCATATCTCTTAACCAAGAACGGTGACCAATCTTTTTTATTGTAATTTCGACACAGACATTGGTATGGATATTTAATGAAAGTGTTTAAAAAAGATTGTTGAATAACTTTTTTTTTTCCTGAGGAATCATCTTAAGGAACTCCTTAGGGCTGAATTACAAGATTTTTGTTGATCATATGGGTGGAAGGTTCTCGACCATCTAATACAGGGAGGGAGGCGTACAAACTACGTTTGCCATTCATTGTAGAAAAAGGGTCGATAAACAAACCTGAAGAAGAATTTAGAGTCAGAGAGGCGACCGGTTGATGGTTCATCTGCAATGGAGCCAGCACTCCTGACGATGTTGGGTTCAGCAGTCCTCCGCCATCCAACACGTTAGGAACAGTTGGTGAAGGAGCCATCATGTTCATCGGAGGGGGACCTGGACACCAGAAGAAAAGACAACCAACTTATTAGCGATAGTGACATTTAAGATTTCAGCCTTTCACCCTTAAGATCTCATAATAATTCTCCCCATTGTCTGCCATACAATTGTGATGATGCCAGTTCAGAGAATTTGATATTAGATCAGCTAGCTATCCCCTAATTGATATTTTTCTTTATGCCCAACACTTGTCTGCTTGCTAATATAGATATTGTAATTTGAGAAGTTCTGTCTTGGTCACTCTTGCGAGTTACAGGGTTACGTATGGTGCTGCTTAAAAGACTTTGAATTGGAGGTCAATGTAATCCAAGACTGTACGTTCTGCGATTGCTTGAGAAATCTCGGGCTATCTACTAATCCCATCAGGTCTTGCAGGAGTTTTGGGGTCGTACTGTAGAGCTGGTTTAGAAAAAGTGGGCAAATGTTGAAATCACAAAGGAGTTCACTCTTTGCTGTTGACTTAGAACACTTGCATAACTAAATGGATATAACAAATTCTTCTGTAGATCCTGTTCATTTTTCAAATCTCCTTAACATTTTTGCAAACTGTCGTTACATAGTTTCGAAATTTCTCTCCACCCTGATTACATGGTTTCCAGCGACACTGAACTTGAGATGATACATGTCAAGGGAAAACAACCGTGGCTTCGCCACTCAAAGCCTCCCGCTTTTTAGGTCGGTTTTTTTGTGGTTATTTGAGTTGTCAATAGCTTCATGTGACACTTCTTGATCTCTGCTCTATTAATGCGTTGTGACGATTTTATTTGTCGTTTGACGACACCCAGTCGAAAGGTGCTTTAAAATCGTATCATTTGCGGTTGATCTCACCTGCATTCGTTGAGCCTAGATCCAGACCTCCTAGTAAATCTAAAAGTTCACCGCCGGACGAAGACGCAGGAGCTGGAGGCTGGACTGGGGCGGGAGCGGGTTCAGGTTGGGTGGGGCCACCGCCAAGTAGATCCAACAAAGTATCCGACTGAAAGGAGATAACCAGAAACACAGCTTGGAGAAAATGGAGAAATTCAGAAACACATATAGTAATATTTCTTCAATTTAGGTGTCGAACAAAACTTGGGACACACTCTCTTCTTGAAGTAACCGAGCGAAAATTGACCAGACAGCCCGGACCGAGCTCAACTTTAACCTGCCATCTACTCCTAAGACGCCCCCACTTTTCTGATCTTCGTAATATGCACAGCACTTGTCACAAATGGACCTAATATTATAGCCTGGGAGTTGGCTGCAGTTTGAATCCTCACCGAGGACTCGCATTTTTCTTTGTACAACACTCATATCAAGTATTCTATAACTTATGTACTGATAAGCTCCTCAAATATTTTCTTTCGTTCTGTTTGGCTGCTGTTAAAACTTTGGTTTTGCACCTACAACACTCAATGAAAAAGCGCTTTAACGGCTTACCGCTTGCTTAGGAGGTTTCTCTTCTGTAACAACTGTATAGCAGAAGAAAGACAAGTGAAATTCTGAGTTAGCATAATTCCACTGGGACAAAGAATTGATGTACGATAAGAGGTGATGTGCCTTCCAATGCACAAGCAGCGGTGCAGGGTGAAGAAGAGGTCGGTGAAAGTGTCAACTTAATGTGTAAAAACAGGAAGAGTCAAGTTGTTTTATAGAGCGAGAATGAAGTAAGGAAGTGGGCAGGTGGACAAGTAAGGAGGCGAGAGGTTTGGTAGGTAGCAGGCAGAAGATGGAAGCTTCTGTGTACCTTCCTGTATCTTTTGCGGTTCTTCTGGTTGTGCTGTGACTTCTCCATTTGTAACTGGCTCAGAAGATACAGACTTGGATTCCATAACGGGCATCTTCTCCAATAGAGCTGGTCTGAAAAGGATAACAAAAAAAAAACATTCTCTAAGCCATATACATTACCAGTTTTTAAAAAAAAATACCACCGACACTAAAAGAATCTATTTTGTGCACGCTGTTACAGTCAATCGGTGCCATACTAAGGAACATTTTGCAGCAGTCAGAAATTAATGGGGCCTGTTTCCTAGCCTGCGGTCCAGATCAACCCTTCAACTCCCTAGATCTGATTGGAAATTCTCCACTCTAGCTGCTGTGCATTTCCTTTTAAATTAGTTTCCTTGGTGTTAGATCAAAATAACAGCTTCTACCTGATAAGTTTGAGTATTCTCATGACCTGTTTGGTGGATAATGTATGGATATTATAGGGAGAAGTTACATGTTTATCACGAACGCTTTCACTTCATCAGTCATTAGTAACAGAAACATTTAAACCAGTCAGCCATCATAAAGCCAAGGTTAGCCGCCGAGCTTACAACACGACTACAAGTAAAACGCATTACCTCAAACTATCATGATTTTTGAAGAGAGAACCAAACTCTACGCCCCTCTGCTGCCTCGCCCTCCCCGAGCTTACAACACGACTACAAGTAAAACGCATTACCTCATACTATCATGATTTTTGAAGAGAGAACCAAACTCTACGCCCCTCTGCTGCAGTTCAACATCCATGTTCACTTCGAATTGATTTATTACGTTCTTAATCCGTCTGAAAAGGAAAAAAAATTGGATTTATAAGTCAACTGCTAGTTAAAGTTTTCAACAAAATGGAATCCTTACAATTGATCACCAGAGTTGATTGAAGTTGATTCAAAGTCACTCACTCCATTGTCGCGGTAAAGCGTGTGCTGAGTTTCATGACGGCAGTTAATGCATAATCTCTGCTAATGGACGTTGAATGAGAACTGTACAGTACACTTTCCAGTACATCAAGCACATCATTCTCCGTAATCTACAATAAACACGAAAAGTGGATTACATCAATTAGTGCCAAGCTTCCAATAAAACTCCTTACATTACTTGGAAATTCCCAGCACAGCATCTATTTACTTTACCGTTCGCTGTACTGCAACATTCGCGCACGGGTAATACGCGCGAATTATGATTACGTGCTGCAGTACTCACGTTCTGAGAGAGACCATCTGATACAAAATCCAACCACCTGTAAAACTCAAAATCTGGAGTTCAATGCATTCATTGCCCATAAGAAGCTGTGCTCTTAAAAAGGGTGCCTTGAAACTCTGCTTTCAAAAAGCGGGGAGTCTCACTACTTTAAGTTTTCACAAAACCACAGTTCTACAAGTCACCCGACGGTAAAAGTTGGACACCTGTGGCACACGGCCTCAGCTAGACCACAGCTCTGCCAAGTAGCAGTCACAGATCTATTAGCGCTTGTTGATTTAACTTACAGTGAGAGCTTCGTCTTCTTCACTGTCTACAAACAACAGATCTCCGTATTCTCCACAGCACCAAGACCCGACCTGGACTAGTGGTTGCTAAAAAGAAAAACCCAAATAAAACACGATTTAGATTGGACAACAAAATGTAATATATATTTGTTCTGATGCATCACAATTCTTAGATTTAAAACTTTATAATCAACCAAACAGTTTCAACCCAGGCATCTGCGGCCAGAATTCAACTCTCAAATACTCTGACTGAGTAGCCTGGGAGAAAGTTTTCATTGGAGCTGCAGAACGAGTTGCTCGTGGAAGTCGAGTCCAAGGAAAAGGAGAGAGTCAAGCAATGAGAGTTCGTGAGAGTTGAGCTGGCTTGCTTTACTTACTTACCGGGAGGTCTGGAGAGGATCTGGCATGAAAGTTAGTGCCAGATCCCTCACACAAACCCCTCTGCCCCGCCCTCACAAGAAGCCTGTGAGATATGCGTGCAGCAGCGCTGATGAGAGCATGCTCACACCCTACTGATTTTGCACTCAGTAAGCTCTTCCACCTAAACTATGCAGAACTGGTCGGTTTTGTCATTTTCTTCTTATTCAATGCAAGCATTGACAACTCTCCGAGTAAATAATTTCAGTTAATGAAGGTGTAAAAGGTTTACTTTAACCTGTACTAATGTTTCCAGAGTTGTCACCACAAAATTACCTGGCTAATGTCATTCTGCATGGCTTTAAAAAGTCGTTGCACAGCATAAGCTTGAAGTTCACTGGACGTTGACACCAGGTGAATCAGGCTTGGAACTGCATCATCACGAACGTAATTTCCAGCCTAAAATCCACAGCCACAAACACATTTCATTTATGCAACTAAAACATGTATAAGCATCTAGACAAATGAATTGATTTCTCTATCACTTCCACGAACTTTTACTACCCGTTTGCTACCAAGCTGAACACATGTGGATCCTATTTATTCAAACAAATATATTGATGAAGTCAGCTGCAGAAGCTAAAGGTTCATCTTAATGTATCTATTTCAATTTAAAAACTCAAAGTCATTCGATTTCTAAAATGTCAAGTACACTTTAGTGGAAAACCTCGAGGATGGGGTCTTTTCTTGATTGTTGCCCATGGAGTTAAAAACCATTGTTGACAGCCCTCATATTGCAGAACGTAATAATCACTCATTTTGCTCAGTTAAATCTTAAGTAGTGTTTAGCATGGATAATCATTGGGCATATTTACACAAACTGGCCATTGATGAAGCCAGGAGTGGCCAGTAAACTCACATTACTTATCTACGTATGATGCACGATCCTCTACTGCGAGGATCGTGCATCATACGTATCTATAACCACAGTTCAAAATATATGAACTTCATATATTCATCGTATTTGATTACTTATCTACATGTAAGAATGTTCACTTTGCAGTATTTTCTCTGCTCTTAAATGTTTTATTTTAGGTAATTGAAGAGTATGATAAACCCAACCACCACACTATACAACCAAGTATACTCACTGTTGTTAGAACTTTCATCATTGTGTCAATATGCCATCTTTTACTTGGGGAATGCCTGAAGGAAAAGCAAATTTTAATGTGATCAATATCTATTTCCTGCATGTAAAAAAAAAAAAAAAACTAGCCTAGATTTTTTGCTCATAATCTTGCAATTTGTCGTAGCCTGTTCCAATTAGTAAACAGCACTAAAAAGCTGGAAACCTCCCTTGCTTTTTCACCCCTTTTCTGCTTTTGTACCGTGTGTTAATTTGCTCCATTTTTAATGTCTAAATGCTGGGAACAGGCTAAATGTTTTTGGATAGCCACCATCTTTGTGCGGTACCTGTAAGTTTTACTCTAATATATATCAAGGGTTTCAATGCTTGCTTCATGGTGGAAGCAGTTTTGAAAGCTAGAAAAATGGCTATGACTATCATTATCTACACCTTCCAATGAAAGATTTAAATATCAAAAACAATGCCTTGATAAGCAGATGAACAAACTCTTACTTTTCTGCTGCTAAGAAGACATTTGAGGTGACATATGACTTAAACTCCACATCAGCTTTGACCAGGAAGGTCAAGAGTTCTTTCACCATGCCACGAATGTTACTGGAGTTTATAAGAGCAAAGGACAACTCCATTGCACGCCTAAACATAAGACCCAAGAGCTGGTCTGAAAAGGATA